TTCCAGCTGGGCACCTGGGCAGCCAGTGACAACCAATAAACCATCATTTTATACTCACAATATAGAAAGTCATATGATTGTATATTGACCTTGAGTTGGATTTAGCTTTATACTTTTTACTTCCTATTTTTCATACTTGATGGAATAAGACCAATTATTTGCATTTTATGACTGTGGTTCCAATATCAGGATGTAAGTGGTATTTCATCTATACCATGCTGATGGCCAGAAGATAGCCAACTTAAGAAAGTGTGTGAAGTGCTACCTCAGACCTCAGTGTTTGTCAGTACCTCCACAGGAAGAAAGGCAGAGAGTGCAGGAAACAAGGGAAAAAGCTCCATCAGCTAACTGTGTCTCGAGTAGTGCACATTTTTGGACCGCAGAGAGGAAAAGCACTACAAGATGCAGCAAGGTCAAAGTGCTACTTATTCACCTTCCAAGGTTCACCTAGCTTAGGGGCCTGTTTGCAACAAGGCTACACAAAGACCCACTGAGGAAGAGATCCCCCAAATACCATAACATTTCCACTAATAATCCATTGAGAGACTTCTATCCTCATTTATAGAAACACCAAGGATATCTATTTATATTTTCAGTTCATACCAGCTTTTATGGCAATATGTTCCATATTTCTCCCACCTGTTCATGTAAAATAGTATTTCTTTTGGGTTGTTCTAAATTTACCCATTTTAAACTTGTAGGGGTGCCCTTCTAACCTGTTGCAAAATGGGTGAATCATCGTCTGTACCAGCCTGTGAAATTCTAAACTAATAAATAATTAGAACAAGGGTCTTGTATTACAGATAAAAGAAAAGAGGCTCAGAGAGGGTTAGTGATCTGTTCAAAGTCGCACAGGATTTCAGTTTTAGAATGGGCACTACTTACCCTATTCACTGCTATAATTCAGCTTTTCAAAGTGCCCCATATTGTCACAGCTATCCTTTCCAGACCTTCCCGAGAACTACTATATGTTTCCTAGTGTCTCGCTGGTAGATATGAAGACAATATTCCAAGTATCCATAAACTATGTTATTTAAGAGTAGCAAACATTTCCTCGTCTGTGTGTGTGTGTGTGTGTATCACATTTAAGAAAGAAAGCAGAAGTCACTGTGCAGTTCTACCTGTCAGCTCCTTGTCAGAAACTTTCTATGGCTCCATGTATTTAATAGCAAATGGTAAATGTGGCCTCTGAGGATTTTCAGAAGAACTGAGGTTGTGGACAAGCCCCCTAGTTTTTTCAGCTTTCCTGGATGACCTATGAGGGGCAGATGACTCATGGAGGGAAATTCTGAACTTGAAAGGGATGAATGAAGAAACAGCAAAGGAATGGAAAATTGGGGAGTGTCTCAGAATGGCATACTTGTCAGCTCTAATTACCCATACAAATAGATTTCAATGCAAAGTGATGAGTAATTAAAAAAAACCCATTTGCCTATGGAAATGAGGGGTGTAATTTATTTTGGCAGCAGATTCCCCTTGCTAATTATATTTTTCATAGGATGAGATTTAAATTAATCTTCATTGTTGATCACACAGCAACTGACTGTTGGTGGGAGGTTGTGGGAATCTTCCTGGGGGTTAAGAGGCTATCAGCTCAAGATTAAGAATTTGCCAAAGATAAGCACAAGTGGGACAATCTTCCCGTGGTGAAGCACTGCGAAGAATGAGACAGGCTGCAAAAACCAAGAAGGTTGGCAAGCGTTTGGCTCAGAAAAGACTGGTGGTTAGAAATTTAGAAATTTCTCAGCCACTGCTCTCCCAGGAATAGACAAGTCAATGTCAGTAATGTCCCATTTGGTGAGAAGTACCAGGTGGCTCACACACAACTATGGGCTGTCTTTGGTTTAAGTTTGTTGTCAGTACTTTGGGTGTCTTCTAATGATACACTGCTAACTTGTAGCCATCTTTTGGAGCTCTGCAGTTGTAGTCAAGAACTGCACCAAACACCAGTCTAAAACAGGTAACCATTAAATATCACTGCACCCATCAGGTTCTATCAACCTCTACCACTAGGAAGGGAAGCAAGAAATAAGCTTATAAAAGACACAGGAGGAAAAAGGGAGAAAATAATTCACCACTGATCTATCACCCTCTGTATATAATTTCATAAATGAAACCTAATATTTGGGGATACCCTTCATTTAGAATTCTGCACATATTTTCTCTCTGAATCCCACTAACGCTATGGCTTCCCAAGGAAACAACATTTTTGATGCCCAAGCTCATTTGAAAGGAAAAGAATGTAATGAATCTACATGAAACAGGAAGTGATCCTGGGAGGATAAACTCTTGGGAGGCATAACCCTTGGAAAAGCTAGTCATTTAGAAAACTTTGTAGGAGGAGGACAAAATATGTATGCTTTTTAGTAACATGAAAATAGTACTTAGAACAGAATTATTCAATTAAGGATGTTGAAATTATAACATTTTGCAGAACTTAATATGATAATTTGTGTAATTTTTGTTCTATTTTCTATTTCATCACCACAGTACCATTTTAATGGGATAATATTTGATGCTTTATTAAAAGATGTGATTTTTTTTTTCAGACTATGTGACTCTGGGTGAAGAGTGTACCCATAATTTGAATTAAAATACCCATATTAAAATGACCATCTCTTTCTCATGCATGCTGAAGGTATATGATCTCGTTAATTTTGTTAAA